TTTCCATGTCAAATAACAAAGGTCAGATGTAACAGGGACACAAAAATATCAAACATTTAGACCCCTAATTTCTGGAATAACCCACCTCTGAAACTTACAACACGCTGTGGGTAATAAATATGATAAGCCAAGTAGGCAGGCTACAAGTTAACCTCAATTCATAATAACCTTAGGCAGTCTTCCTATTCATCAACATGCAACTTGACCGTGTACAAATGTACCAAGCGCCAAGTCCATATAAGGAAATTCTTTTGGACAATTTGCACAAGAAATATACCATGAAATGGACAGGGGTGTTCGGGAAATGAAAGTAAAATTCTAAAACAAAATCACTAGAAATCCATCATACACTGACTTCTTTTGACTCTCTGACTAAAAAAGTACGCAGCTCGGGCATCAGTCACATTCATACTTCTGAGCCGGTCTCAAACGCACATTTAAGACCAGCCAAGCAAATGTCTATTCCCTTATTCAATGTTTTGCAAGGAACCTGACGCAGTACGGTATTCAAACAAACTGACAGATGCTTCTAACAAAACTGAAACATCAACACCCAGTTTCCAACGATGGTAGCTAGTTCAAACATACATTGCAATGTAACTATTGACCCTAGAATCCCAGAGGACGTATGGGTTTAGATACCACCTCAGTCCTTCAAAATTCTCCTACTGCCTCCATAGAGAAATTGGGTCCAGCCTCAATCCTCCAAAATCCTCCATTGTTTCTTGAGTGTGTTCCTTGGAGGGAGTGACCACTGCCTCAATCGCTTAAAATTCTCTGGCAAGTCCTGCCGTTATTTTAAGGCAGTGCAAATGGTATCCTGAAGCAGAGTGGGCGATTTTACAAGTCATCTCGGCATGGGTGTATGCATGAAGGAGCATGAACAGCAAAGGTCAAACCCAAGACCTCGACTCAATGCGACCTTCGCAATCGGCCACACATTTCTTGCTTTTAGCCTCGGTCCTTCCGAAGTCCTCTGAAACCACTCAGAGGATTTTGAGGAGCAAAGGTTGGGGTCAAACTGCAGAGAATCTGTGATGGCCACCCCTAATGAGCCTGACCGTACGATAAAAACATCAGGAAGGTACACAGATGCTGCACAACATTACCTGTACTTCAGTTTGGTGTGCGCCGGCAGATCTCGGCTGGAATACTGCTTTGACATAGCACTCAAGTCACCGCCCTCACCCTTGCCTCGACCTCCCCTGGCGGGGTCAAAGGTCGGTCTTGCCGCTGTCGTCATCTCTGGTGATGCTGTGTTTTACAATATTTTGGTTGAAAAGCTTTGCTGAACTTTTTTTTTAAGATGTTCAGGCAGTGATGTCTTCTTGTAGTCTGGTGCAATTTAATTATGTATTTTCAAATGGATAAATGCAAGATGACTCGAGAAGTTTGGAGGTCCCCTTGTGTGCGATCAAAACCTGTGGAAATAACAAGAGACCTCATTGGTTAAAGTTTCCCTGAAAAAGGAGCACATCCTTCTTGGAGTCTGTAAAAAAAAGCCCTTTTCAGAATAAATTGAAACTCCAAACAATGCACAGAATTCAAAATTCAGGACTGCAAAATCTTTATTGTTTTTGAAGAAACCTTCGAATAAATATGTGGTAGATTAGTGACCACTTTTCATTTGTGGCCATTTGTAGGCCTATTCATTAATAATGGCAAGCAATAACCGGATTTGAACTTTTGGTTTTATTTTGCTGTAATACCAAAATTTGAAATCTCAAATCTGTACATCAAACAAGCCACTGATGTATGCCATAAACAAGGTCTACCCATTGGAAATCAATGTCTATCAATTAAAAATGAAGCTTGAAAAGGGTTAATGAGGCTAATATTGTTTCATATTTTTACTACTTTTTTAACACAGGCCTAGGCTTATTTGCAATCATACCAGAATGAACGCATCATTGATTGTATTTGTTATGATGTACCACTTAGATGTTTAATGTCTACAATCAACATTTTCAAATTCCACCCCTATTTTCATTAAAAAATTACTTGCTAAAATGCAGCATCTTTTCAACATTTAATGCAAAACTGACGTGCAATGCTTTATTGACAGATTGAACAGGAGAGAGTTAGACAATAGCCTAGGCTATGTAGAGAAAAAAGTGGCACTTGAATGCAAGATTCTTTCAAGCTGCACAGAGCAACAGGCAACCAAAACAATTAAATACCAAATACAACTAGGCCGGACTAGTATGACTAGGACTGCTCTAGCCCCACTACTGCGGGGCTAGAGCCCGTCCTAGCCCCACTAGTGGGGCTAGTATGACTGCTCCAACAACACAACAGCGGTCATAATCCTGACCGGATATTGTCAGCCAGGCCTGGGGCCAGTTTGCGCAAGTTTAATGTCAGACAATTTAAATGCACACGAATCAAGTAATGATACCTTCAATCGTTACTCCAATACTACGTATTTAGTGATTGAATATATGAAACAAAAACTGCTCTACTTCTCAAGAAATCAAAGAAAAGCTACCTGAACCTCACCATTTCAAAAATTCCGTAACGGAGGTCGCCATCTTGCGAATTATGATTCAACCCCGAGTTCAAAGGTTAATTAAGTGTGATTTCGCTCGCTGGTGCCCTGAAAGTTTAGAGATAGTATCCCATGGATGCTTTTATTGAGACCAGTGAAATTGATCAACAAATTCCCCGTACGAACAACGATATGATCCGCCGTATACGCGTACACGGCCGGCCGGCGCGCGCTCACAGGCAAGTAAGTAGAGCTAGCTAGGCCAACTGCGAAGAAAGATGGAGAATTCTGTCGGTGGCAATTTTACTCCATCTGACGGTAATGGCTTACCCACACCAACGCGCCAAGCGGGGATGGTTTGCACCTTGTTCGATGGGGATGAGGCGAAATGTGTAAGTTACCAGTATTTATAACTCGAGTGAACATGGACAGATAGAGAAGCTCGGCCAAATTTAAGTCCCATAAATTCGCTTTGACGGATCAAATGCCATTTGATGATTAGCCGGATCATCGATGAGTCATTTTGTCCGTTTAGTAGTTTCATGCTTGGCACTGGTAACAGGCATAATAGGGTGGTTCACATCTTAGAATAAGATTTTCTTTGTTTCTGAATGTAGCAAAATTCGATAGGGCCTAGGCCTACTTTTTAAAACTTTCTACAGATTTTTAACTTTTGATTCATTTGATTTGTTAATTTTGTAACCAATTTGAGCATTCCTCCAAGAAAAATTAAAGTAACTTGCTTCAAAATACCAAAAGCTTCCAATGATTTTTCCCTCTTTTCAGGATGCTGTTGTTGGAGTAAAGAAAGCAATGGCATCTCTGTCATTGATTGGGTGGTGAGTAGAAGAAACATTTAACAATGCAGCTTAATTGTAATGAACTCAGCTGCGAATTAGAATTGGCATTACTATTGTTTGGTTTTTCATGTGACGTATCTTAGCCCAGTTCTCAAAATTAATGATGTTTCTCATTTTCCCCCAGTTTGTTTATGATAGGAGTAATATGGCTCTTCAAGAAGCACGTGGTTTTTGTGCAGCGTTTGATCCTTTATCTGACAATCGCAGCGTTCTTTGATAGCACAGCGTATCTGATGGTGAGTTTCTCCACTTGTATTCCACCGTGGCATGGATGTGATATCATAAAGCAGTCATGGCTATATTTGCCCACGTTAAATTTATACCGGGTCACATATTTCCCATGAAGTCACAGCACGAAACTTTGCTATCACTTATTGGCTGAATAAATATAAGCCGCTCTTTAATTTTGTGTTAAGTTTCTAAGATTTATTGATGTAATTTTGATTGATCTAAATTTGCTGATTTTCAGGCCAACGTGCAACCAGATGGGCCGCTGTGTGACTTTGAGGCATTCTGGCTCTCATTCTGGGGTGAGAAATTCGTCAGTGAAGTGTTTCCGGCATCAGTGTTCACATACGTGTTTCTTGCGCTGAGCAATAACAATTTCCTGTTGTTTCCTCTAACGTTTTTAACCCCAAGAGACTGCAGTAGTTTTTCTGGTATACATTGCATTTTCTTCATTTTCCGAAAAATTTCCTTTCAGATTGGGCTGTGTTGCTGTGGGTCACGTGTCTCACTGTCAACCTGTTCTTGATTACTGTCAAAATGATCCGGATGGACCGCTATGAAATGTGAGTGACCTTCCTGTGGCCTCGGTCGGGTTTTGTGGTAAACAGGATTTGGCATCCATGAATAGTGATGGCCTTTCAAGGCCAGAAAATAGATTTTGTTGACAAGTTGGAATGGTGTCTGTTGCTGAATTGCAAATCAGAATGAATTGAGTTTTTTGGCGTGTACGATGTAAGAGGAACTTGCTGGCAAAAAATGTGCCTCTGTGTTTGTCATTGAGCAGGAATGGTTGCCATGGTGATCACTAATAAACTGGAAGGCAACTCTGATGAATTTCCTGGTTTTTTTTCATTGCCAGTGCATTGGATCAATTGGGCCGTTAACCCATGATGAGTTAGAACAAACATTTACAAATTACATCGCTTTTATCCTCGACCAATTGGTCATAGGTTTCTTCACAAAATACCATCCGTACCAAGAGAAGCCTTCTCCTTCCCTCCCCCCAAAAAAATATCAACAAAATACGTACGGGGAGTGAACATATGCATGAAACCAGAGTAAGAAATAGAGAAGCTGTCAGTTTGAAGCGATCATATACCAGAAACAGAATGAATTCCAATCTTACTCTTTTCTTTCCGCTCCCTAATTATTCCCCAAAGCACACCCTGATTTCGTATGTTAATGAAGTCAGTACCGCACAGGTCAGCCGCTGTCACTTTATGAGGTAAAGCCCAACTTGATTAAAGCCCAACTAGGTATATAGAAGTTTTCTTTATGTTTCTGCTCTTCCTGTGTCTTCTAACAACTTCCTGCATTGCATGGTTGTGTTCATAGACTATACCATGCCATTTGTTGGACCGTCGCACTGGTTATATCTCTCCTTCCGCTGATCGGAGATAACTACGGGCCAGCCGGGGCATGGTGGTAAGTTCTGAGTTGCTTGAAAAGTAGCTCCTATGCAGTGTTTGGAAAAATTACTACTACTCATGTCTGAACCAAATGACTGGCAAGTCGCTCGAGTCACGTTTGAGGCTCTGAAAACAAATCTTGCACAGGGTGAATCGGTATAAACTCTTGGCATTTTTTTTCCACATAATGTCCATTTTCACCAGACAAACTCAGAGACACGTGGAAACAACGATTTCTTTTTCGCTTGTTCTGATCATGGAGACTGACACAAAATCACTGGAAAGACAAATGAACTTAGGACTAAATTTGAGATTCTTAGTCACGACTGAGCTTGCATACATGTTTTGACCTGTATGTGTTGGTACAAAGGATAGAGAATTCTAGAGACTGAAAAAAAAAGAGACTGTCTCGCTCACTCAATCCTAACGAGTACTATACTTGTTGCTGGAGTTTCATGATTTTGCCTCTTTTTTCCGACTTTGATAGCTGGATAAAAGAGGAATCAACTGCCTGGAGATTCTTCACGTAAGTGTGATGACACTACTTAGTTACTATGATTAAAGATAATAGGTCGTGACCTCCACTGCCCTTGTCTTGGCCTAGTGAGTGACTCGTTAAAAATAACCTTATGTGGATATCAAATTTTCACCGAACAGTTCAAAGATTAGGTTTGTTGTTTTCGTAAGCCTTTTAAAATACGAATATAACCACCCTCATCCCCATAGGGCCCACCCCAACGTCCTGAACCATTCCACAACAGGCCACAATTGTTCATTTTCAGTGATCAGTATTAAAGCTCAGAACTAGAACTGGAGGCCTAGTTCTAGAACCAGAACTTGAAGCATAGTTCTAGAACTGGAACTATCAACTTTTTTTTATACTTTCCTTGCAGGTGGTATGGTCCACTGTTCATCATCATCATAGCCATGTTTATCCTGTACAGTTACATCATCTTCATCCTCAACAAAAAGGTAGACTGGTTAAACGTCATGAGTTAACTAGTTAGTTAATATTTTCAATCCGTATAACTGGTAATTTATCACCAGTAAGGCAAATTACGTACTTGAAAGTGTTGCTATATTTTCAGTGTACAATGTTTTTAAACCTGGTTTTCTGTTCTGTCGGACCAGGTCAAGAGTTGGCAGGGAACTTACGAGCCCGAGATTGAGAGGAACCGGCAGATCCTGAAGGCGGAGATCCGCCCCCTCCAGGCATACCCATTCATCTACTTAGCCCTGTCTGTCTTCCCTTTGATAAACAGGTACCAATGTACTTTCTGCTGTGTCCTCACATTTTACTCCTAAATGAGCGGAACTGTGTGAAATTTTTGAATTTCGTTATACCAAAATTAGCAGGGGGTAGCGTTCAAGGTACTGACACAATCTAGTTTTTCTTCAAGTTGTCAGGGAGCTAGGCAGTCTTCAAATGTCACACAAGTTTGTTTTTCCAAAATGGAGGGCAGTTTAAGGCAGGTTTGACTGCCAGCTGCCGAGTGCTAGGAAAACAATATCCTGCAAACCTTGTTTTTTAATTCATTCCTATGTTCCAGAATACAGAATGCAGCCAATCCAGGTAATCCCATCTTTGCGCTGGTCATCCTCCACGCCCTGACATCGCCCTTGCAAGGGCTGGTCAACGCCGTGGTGTATGGCTTAGATCGAGAGACACGCAGCCGTCTGTCATGGACACAGATTAAGGTGTGAGCCCCCACTGCTACAGGCATTGCAGTCCAGCACTTCACAGTCACTGAAAAGTCTTTGCAAGAACATTACCAATAGAGGCTTTGCGTGGTAGCCATCTTGACAGGCAGCTCTTTAGTTTGATGCAGAAACCTCCTTTGTGCGTATACTGTGGAACAAAAGCACTGGCCTGCAAGATGGCAGCCATGCTAACCCTCTATATCCCTGTCTCAATACAAGCTTCATGCCAACCGTCAGACCTGAACAACCTAACAAAGACATTCATGTGTTGTTCACTTAAGTTGGGCTAAGCAGGGCTCAAACTCATGACCTCTCAATCGTGGATGCAAATAGGTGAGCAAGACAGGACAGCTGACCACTTCAAATTCAGCATGGTTTGAGATAATTAAGCAGAGGGGAACATTAATTTGGCCACGAAGCAACTATGAGCAATTCTCAGATTCACTGGGCATCATTTCTGAACATTTCTGGGCTAACTATTCACAGCTTTTGCTTAATGGATACTTTTTGTGCTCATCTCTAACCTGGCTTAGCATCGCCACTATTCAACGTAATACGTGTACAAGTCGACCATTTTGTATCTGTGTTTTTGTCCTCTTTGAAAGGTGATGGCTAGGGTGTTACTTATGCCTTCATAGTTCTTGTATTTGTCAGTGTCGCCCTGCCTTTGCCAAGTTTATCTGGACACTGTTCTTGTCAACCCATCCACTCACCCACTACCTCCTCTCCCACGTTTGACTCATCCATCTACATCCCACTTCTCCCTCTCTTGTCCTCCTCAATTCTCCTCGGACCCATCGACTCACCAACCCACCCAAATCCCCCCATTTATTTTGCCCACCCTACACTCTACTGACCTCTCTGGGCACCCTTCGCCCATCCCCCTCTCTTGTACCCCTCAATACAACCTCCACCTGTCCATTTACCCCCACCACCCCAATCCCCACATTCCTACCACCCATCCTACGCCCTGCTGACCCCTTTTCGCACCTTCTGCCTACCCCCTCTCTTGCCACACCCGTCAATTCAACCTCCAACTGTCCACTCGCTCCTTGCCACCCTTATTTCCACTTCCTGTTCCGCGTCCTGTACCCTGCTGGCCCCTCTCTGCACCCCCCTGCTTTCCCTATCTTGTACCCCTTGATACAATCTCATCCATCCTTTCACCCTTAACACCCCTATTCACACATCTCTTTCACCCATCCTACACCCTACTGTCCCCTCTCTCCATCCTCCTCTTGAACCCCTCGATTCAACTTCCGCCCATCCACTCACGCCCCTGGCCATCCCTTCCCTTCTCACTGACAGGCGGCATACCAGGGTCGTTCGATCCACCAGCCCATCCGGGAGTACCCCTTAGTGTCCGCGCCCGAGACCCCCGAGCTGGAGGATATGGGCCCACTGGCCATGAAGTCCCTCAAACACTCCATGTGAATGACCAATCGAACAATCAGGCAGTTAGTATCCTCAGAACGTCTCTACAAAAGAGGGCCCTGTTATTTCTCGTTATTCCTTCAGCTAAGGTTGTACATGGTGGCATGTAAGAAATAAGCAATGATGTCTGGTGATGGTTTTTTTTTTGGCCTCCTCGTTTCATTGCACTTTAGTTTCCACTCATGTTTTATTCATTTCGCTATATCTACTAACTGCAGTCTTCAAGGTGTACTTTTGCATTGGGGAGATGTTGATTTATATAACGGGTTTGGCCCTATTTTCTTGAAAATAGTTTGCAGTACCCATTGCTTCACCCGACTCAGACCGGCCGGCCGACCCCTGCAAACTCGGTGGTCGAGTGGTTAAGACATCTGCACTAGTAAGCAGGAGGTAGTGGGTTCGAGTCCCACCCGAGAAAGCTTGGGAGATTTTTTGCAAGCTCTCGGACAAGCACTGAGCATACAGTGTTTATCAATATATACGTTGGGTTTAAGGGCAAAACCTGTTATATAAATTAACTGCAGTCTGTTCTTTATTTCTTTTGTTCCTGCTGTTATCTGCCCATTTACTCAAAGTGCAGGTTAATTTGTGTTGGCTTTTTCATCACCGTTACTTCAGTTATTTACCTTACAATATGTATGCATGTACCGTGCTGTAGCCATTGTGGTCCAACCTCGGCTTTGTCGCTGGCTCCAGAGCCTGTTCACGGTCTTGATTTGCCAGAAGCAGATGTAACTGCTGGCGCTCTGGCTCTCTTAATCCAATCCAAGGGATCTAAAACTCATGAAGCCAGAGCCACCGCCTGAAGTTGCATCTGAGGTTTGAAATGTGGCTGCCACATCACACTGAGCAGTTTAAGGGAAATTAGGCAGACACCTTCCATAGATCTGGAAAGAGTGCTTCTGCCATGGCATGGTCTTCAAGTGACAAGATCTTTGCATATTTTCAATTCACTTTTCACCCAGGCTCACTTTTTGCAAACTGCTGGCAAAGTTAAGCCATGTCAAAGAAACAGTTACCTTTTTGCATGTTTGTGTTTACATGTCCATTTAATTTCAGTAGTCCATTTCTCAAGCTGAACTTTTTAGGTGTTTCTTCAAAACAACTCGCTGTTTGAGCTTCATGTCAAACGTTTATCTATCTTTCAACTGTATTCTCCTCCTAATGTACTTTTGAAATTTCTTGAAGTTTTCCTTTGTTTTCCTGAAAATGCATTTGCCTCCAACGAAATTCTAAATCGTTCCAAATTGCCCTCAATAAGGTCCTCTGTATGGCATGCCTTTCAAACTGCAGTCTTGTGTCTCTCAGTTTGAGTGTAGTGACGTGGAGCCATGCCGGTGTGGCTGTCATGTTTTCAGTTATGATTAGTTTTTTTAATTATTTCAGGTGAGCTTTTTGAGTCGCTTCACCAGGGAAACGCAGATTAAGGAGTACCCTCTCCCGGAGAAGGCCGACCACCCACCGGCGCCCCTGGGGGACAATGCTAGCGAGGGAGATGAGCTGCGATCGCCTGACGAGGTGCACGTCGCTGAGGGCGTTGGGGCAGAGGAGGGCGGGGGGATGACAGCGGTGGAGCTGGCAGAGGAGAAGTAAGCCCCCGAGCGAGCTCAGAAACGTGCTAAGTGCAGACAGATATCTGCTCCATAAAAATGGGTCAGCAGTTACAAAGCCATGGGGGTGTATCCTTGCCATAACTGGTGTCCTGTCAATTTCGGCTCAGCTCAAAAATTCATTAAGCAAGATTTTCTGTTGGAGAATTAGAGTCTAGCGGTGGTCTTGGCCGCAAGGGAGAACCCAAAAAACCCTGAAACCCGTTCATTACATGGACATTTCATGAAAGTACTTTCAATCCCACCGGAATCTATCCTTTTGCGTACTGTCTTAGAACATGAAACTCAGTGAATCAAAAACAAAAAAAAACAAAATGGGCATTCTGTTTACAGATGGCTTCATCAAACATCAAAAGTCAGGACTTTCATCTTTAGAAGCTCAAACTTCAAAGCATTGAGTGCAGTAACATGCATGCATGCTTGGTTTCATTCTGGGTCTGACATCGTTTGAACGCGATTCTTGTAAAAACGCTCAAACAGAAACATATAATTAGATGCTAGTTGTTCTGCACTCATATTCCTCATTAAGTAAACATGTATGTACAGTGTCTATTGTCTTGACTGCGGTTTTTATGCATGTACTTTTCTCGTATTGTAAAGTTTACCGACTCAGTATCTACTCGGAACAATTTAAATTTGTAGTGTATTGTGTAGTTTTAACCATAACATGTAAGATGTTCTCCCTCAGTGTACACGTACAAGTGTTTGTATGTACCTGTATTCTGGTGTCTTGTAATGGTCTCGTAAACTTGTATGTGTCTTTGAAACTTTAAACAGTACTGTGACGAGTTTGCGCACAGCTGTTGAGGGTGCTGTGTGTGGTCCACTACCCAGAGCCAGGGTTGGTTTTTACTGCCTCGCAGCAACTTGGCACACAAACGTGTACGGATTTTTGGGCTTTCAGTTGAGTGTGCACAGTAATATGCAATTCAGAGGCACTGCCTGGTCTCAGAGGCATGCAAATAAGGGGAAAATAGACGAAGGCTGGGCAATTCTGAGTGGCGCAGCTAATCGGTTGATATAAAGTTGCCTACTTGTAGTCTGTAAGGGGAACAATAAATTAACGGTGCTCGCATAACGACCGTTGGCTTTCTTCGGATGTTGAACCTCTGAAGGAAAAAGGCTACCAGGCCGCAGGGGCCAGTCTCAAGGAGTTCCTAACCCCAGACGTCACAGGCTCAAAATCCCACTTCCATGTCTTGTGTTCAAACCAGAATCTTTCATAATTGAACAAGTGGTGCATTTAAGTAACCTGCAAGTGTACACATGTTTTTAGAATCAGATGTGTGAAGATATCATCATGGAACTAGAAACATGTGACCCACTCTGAGAAAAGGTGTATTAAGTCGTGCAATGCGAAAATGCGTAATGGACCATTCCATGTGCCGAGGGTGACAATATTTGGAAATATTTTGAGGCCAACTGCTTGACCAGAAAACCTCTGTTGCTAAGGAAAACCAAGAGAGTGTCTAATTTAAGTTAAATGTTTCTGTTCGTTATGTTTATAGAGAGCATTATCTCAAAAGCATGTGTGATAAAATGAAATGATATGAATATGCACATGGCAGATGAGTCCAAAATGCAAACTGCCACTGGGATGAATTATATATCAAATTCAAAAAAATGTGACATAATACACCTTTATGCAGAGCCCGTCACGTGTATCGAGAACAAAGAAAATACACGTACATGTACTGTTGTATTAAAAAAAGAACCAATAACACTTCAGTGATTGCTTTATAAGCAACCTGATATGAGAAATGCTAAAGTTTGATCGCCAGTGTGGCCTTTAAACTGTATTTGTCAAGAGTTATATTGAAAGAATTACAGTGACTGTTATCTGGCAATTTTCAGCTTGAAAAAAAAAATTTGGTTTGGAAAAAGCTGTCAGTTTATTATTTCTGGCTTGAGCTTATTCAAAGAAAAAAACAAGATTTTGTAATCATTGCCCGAGAAAATGTATTCTGTAACCTTGAAGTCTCTGACACCTAGAATTTTCTTGATTTATCTCGGCAAAGATTCTTCCGTAACTAGCCAAAATCCCTCAGGAAACTAAACACTGAAGGCACATTTTCTTTTTGTACGTAAATTGACTCACTTAGCCTTATGTAAGCGTATGTTGCTGAAGCAGCAGTGTGTCAGTTACACTAACAGGTGTCAGGATTAGCGGCCATCATCTTGCAGAAAAACAAGACAAAAGCAATATCATACATGAACATGTAGTTGGTTAAACTAGTAATCAAGACAGATTATGTACAGATAGAGCAAGATGGATTTGGATTGAGTAGTCTCACCTTTTTTATACTAAAAAATCATGCTTAGTGCTATGGTACAAATATGCTTAAAGAAAGTGTTGACTAAAACCCTAATGTACATATTTACAGGAAATAAAGGAGTTATTTACAATGATAACTGGAGGCTCTTTTCTCTCAATTCTGAATGAAAATATTAACCCTAACCCTGCCAGATGCAGTAAAGCCCACCAGATGAAACAGTCTGATGTACTTTGATGTACGGGGCGATCAACAGCAGCCAAACAAACTGGCCATGGCAAGGGGAGTTAGTCCCATTGAACAATGCCACTGTTGGATCTTGTGGTGACTGGCAATTACAGACTCCCAGGCTGTTTGGCCTTGGGGCTCGGGGAGAGTTGACCCGTTGGATCTCGTTACTCTGGACTGGCAAGCCACTTTGGCAAATGATGCAGTTTTGGTGTGTCTGGTAGGGTTTTCAGCCAAAGTAGGCTTGTAGCATTCAGAGATTACGGTGCCCCTTGGGCAAAATCGGTGTTTGCCTTTAACGGTATGGTGCCTCACTCACTGTTCGGATTGCAAAGTTTTGAAGGCATAGCAGCAGGCAAGTTGGTGAATTGCCGTTCCTGGTTCAGATAGGAAATGTGAACAAGATTAGTTTTCAAAGTCTGAGCAAAGTACTTTCGACAACTGGAGGCCAACTGGTTAGGGCTGTGCCGAAAATCTGAATATTCGATTGACAGTTGAATATTTGAATATTATTTTTCAAATCTGAATATTCGAATGCAAAATTCATGAAAAGGAAGAGAAAATTTTGTTTTGTTTAAAATGTGAATAATTGCACTTTGGAGGCTTGTTTCCACCAGATTCAAATGAAAAGCTTCAGAAATCATACAGCAATTTAAAAAGTAAATTATTCATTAGACAATTTAAAAGGAATAGAAATTTTCAACAGGGCAAGAACTCTTTTTCATCTCTTAAATCTTGCTAAATCGTGGCTGGAGATACTCTTAGATGTGAGAAGCTATTATATTGATTATAATGTACAATTGTGTGTGTTATTGTAACTGATTTTGTACATGGTTTGTTCATCAACAATCTGCCGGTCAGGCAACCAAATATTCGGATATTCGATCAAATTGAAAGTCGAATATTCAAATAGTGAATTATTTGAATTGACTCGGCCCTACAACTGGTAATAATTTCACAGCAGCAATTTCGCTGCTGCTATTATCTCTATGGCAGGCCCTTTTTAATCTGCTCTGTTTCACATGCATGTGGTTTGCAATAGTTTGCTGCCGGGCAACATGTTTCTCGCACATCCTAACATCAGGAGTAGCATGACGCAGTAACGAAAAAATGAAAAAAGTCGTCAAATGAAAAAGTTCTTTGATGAATCCACTCACCTGCGATTCCCTGAAGTTCTGCTCCAGGACCAAGTTGAGCTGTTCTTTCAGCTTCCGCGCCTTGCCAGCGGTGAAGATGATGGACTCGCTGAGGTCGGAAACTACAGGGGCAAAAAAAACGAACAGGAGTGAAAACCACCAGATTGCGACGGGAGAGCTGTCTTCCTCAGAATAAAGTCAGACAGACCAATGTCATTTTAAATACTACATGTAGATACTGGATCTGGAATTGTGCCAAGATACTGGATCTAGAATTGACTGGCACTGTGACCATGCTTCTCAGGTTGAGAAGGGAAAGCTCGTACTCTTGGCCTTGCTGAGTATTTGATGAAGGTTGTTGACTCGGAGCAAGAAACCGTCCAACTGGGCTTGGGCCACCTCGGCCTCCTGAAGCCACTGCCGCAGCCTAGCGTTGACGTAGAGCGACTGCGCGGATCAAGAAAACAGGACAAACTATCCATGAAGTGAGGCATTACACAACCAGATACTATGGCTAATTCTGATGCAATATTCAATACAACGTTTCCACTTTTAACAACAAGAGCGTTGTTAATGCAAAATTCTGCTTATAACAAGGAAATGCTTAGGTTCCAACGCTTTGTTCTTCACTGTTTTCATACCTGAAAACGTAAGGTTTCTGTTGTAACAAGGCTATTTGCAAAATCTGAAGGACATCTTGTTAGCGAGGTTTAACTGTACATTGGATGAGGGTTTTCAAAATAGAAAAAATAAGAATTTAATCCATCAGACTCACGTTTCTGACTTGTTGCCGTAAATTCTCTAGATCAGCATCTAATTTTGCATCATCCTTTGCACTGTAATCTTGCCAATGTACCTGTAAAAAAAACGGTAAACAAGGTCACACAAAATTCAACTTCCAATTCGGTTTAGATATTACAGGGCTGATGATGAATTGTTTCTAACGTTTTCCCTGTTTATCATCCTAATTTAATGCCCTGTGACGCCCCTCTCTGTTATATCTCCGCCTAGCCTGCCCAACCCCCCCCAACCAACTCACAGCATCTTCGGGCAGGAGCACGTTGCTAGGAATGTGGAACAGGTTCTTTTTGAGGTAGGACTCCAGACGGTCAAAGTTCTTGTCGACCGCCTTCAGGAAGTGGCCGAATAATTTATCTGATGCCTGCAAGGAAAGGAGAAAAAATGTGATCTACGACTTCAACCTACGAAGGGATAATCGAACGAGAATGCACAAACTTTCTGTGCAAATTTCGAGACCATTTATCCCAATGTTGCATCAATTATCAATACAATATGAACTTGGACTTTTACAATTTAGAATGACATTGGAATTTTCCTGCAAATATTCTGGAATCAAATAAATTACGTTACACTTAATTTGCAGACTGAAAATTGTTCTGCACATTTTTAAAACCAAAGCATGGTTGGTGAACAGGCAAATGTTTATGTGAATCAACAGCATCTCTGTTTTTCTTAAGCAAAAATGAATCTATAGGGTGCGGCATTGTGACATTGCCTTCGTGCATTCAAAGAGAACTTGTCAGAGCCACTTCTGAATTACAAGACCTTCGCAAGAATCTTGCGCGACCTGATATGTGAGGGGGGTCAGGTCGACGTGATGGTTCCTTCCTCGCCTTCCACCTCTGGGTCTGGGTCCTGGTGGATCGGGTTTTCAGTCCCTACCTGATTCCTGGGGTTTTACCCAGAATATTCCTCTGGGGTTTTCCTCCCACCTCTAAAACTGTAACTGCTTCTTATTGTCTCATTTGGACAGTTTCGTCAGGCTTGTGAGCTACAGTGCCTAGGGCACTTTTGAGGAATCCTTGGTTTCACTGCCAGAAATAATAACAGTAATATATAGTATATAGTATATATATATACACTAAACACTTTTTCCCACAAACTGTCCGTATTCATCAGGGATGCCAATATGAGTAATACAACAATGAGCAGAGTTTGCTCTTTCTAATGCAAACTAAAACTAAAACAAATTACTCATTTTGTGGGATCCTGTCATGCATGGCCTATTCAACTAAAACTCAGTGTCCCACGATTCACAAAATTTGGGGGCTCGTGATAAGACTCACTTCTCTGACACACTCACGCGATACAGGATTGGAGGTGGCTTCAGCCTGGAGAAAATGAGAGAGAAATAAAGGGCCTTACTTTCAAAAAGGTTACAAAATCAGCAGGTTTTAAGGATCCGGCAAAGAATCAACTGAGCTCACAGCCAGTGGCAATAAATTCCCAGCATCACACACCAACTGACCTGGTAACCCCAGAACAGTTTCAAAGATTTGATGTGCGCAGAAAATGTTTGATAAACAGAAGCTGGTCAAATTGGAATCACTCCACTTCACTCCTGGGGTTCACAACATCAGAAGAAGTCTCCATTAAAAAAAGGGAGACCTCAAGCTGGGCTGGTGAAACCCTGAGGGTCCTGTCTTGTCCTCTTGAAAATTTCACAGATCCTTTGTCGACAGACAGTGAAGTTGATCTGCTTTTTGTTCTGTATGTTTTTCTGCGCTCAACAACCAAGTCTGGTGTCTACCGATTCTGGAGTGCCAAACGTGAGCCCCAACTCACTTCGAGTGCGTGAATATATGAATCCTGGGCACAATCAGTCGATCAGCACAATCATGCCATCGCGTTCCACTATCAGTCCATCCTTTGAAACCAATTTTGAAACAGACATCCTCAAATGTGTATTAGAAATAAGACGCACTCGTCTGAAGGTGAAATAATCAACAGATCCTAAAGCTAGATTGAAAGATTGTGCAGATCAACCAATCATGCCCAACATTTACACATTAGGGAAATATCAGTCATTTTTTAGAATTCACGATGTTGAATATATCATAACCTTTTTTTTTTACCTCTTCCAACAAGTATTTCTCCATGACTTCAATGGAGTCATTGAGATAATCCACCAGGGCATTGTGAACTGAAAGATAAAACAATGTGGAATTACTGTTATTTCAACATTTAAAATACTTTATCAAAAGAGATCACAACTGCTTGAGTAGCCAAAAACTGTCAAGCTGCATTAACAATGGCGCAAAGTGGCTGCTACAAAGTACATGTACCTTCGTATTTGACGTGCAGTCACCGTGGTTGCGCAATGTTAGACAATGTTTAGCTGTAATTTGAAATTACCTCCATCAATGAAGGACTTGGGGGTGAACCCAAAGAACTGCACCTCATATTCCTTAAGGTCGGCAGTCATGCTTGGCCCATCTCTGCTCTCATCGGATGCAGCATAGGACTCTGCCATCACTATTCCAACCAACTTGATTTGTAGTTTGAACCAATTTGGGGCTTGCGGACCTAATTCACATCGGTGCTAAAAAATTAAACCATTGATCTTGTTAGTATAATAACATCATCAAGCAAGCCAGAATATGAACTCGTAACTCCTTTATACTGAAGCAAAATCGCACTTGATAATTTGGTTCCCTACGTACTCTTCCTTCCTGGCTTTGTAACCCTTATCAGAAGAGACTTAGGCATCCAAACTCCACCTTGCTAGTTGTGTGTAAAGTCAAAGGAGAGTTTTACTGAAAGAAGTCCAAACACGGATGCCACTTGACACCCTGTGCACAAACCCGATGACATTGGTCTGAAAAATTCCAAGTGTTTTCCAAGTAAAAAAACAAATCATGTTTATTGTAACATTTTCCTTGGCAAATTGCCTGAATTTGAACCTTCGTTTGGCTGGGCAGATGAACTGCCGACGTTGAAACCTTCACCAATAATCGACAGACGTTAAAGTTTACATTGGGCACGTTAGGGCGAAGTGGTGGTCGGGCAAAGTGGAAATGAGGCGATGTGGTTAGGGGCGAAGCGGTCAGGGGCGAAGTTTAAATGGGGCGAAGTGACTGTAAAGCCCACAATCAGATGGCCAAACATTACCTCCTGAACAGTACGGCATTACTCCGTAGGCCTTATTTACTGCTGGGTCCATCTTTTTGACAGTTCTGTACGCTATGGCATTTTGAAAAGTGCCCTCGTATCAGAGAAAACCTCAGTTTGTGCTTTCAGAAGCAAATCTTCCCCCAAAACCCTGTAATAATAGCCTTATACTGCCTTACAGTTCAGGAAGTAGCCAAGCATAGCTAAAGCCAAGTACTACTCCCAGAACCCCGCAGTTCTGGGGATGATGATGATATCGATAGCCTACGGTCATGACGGTACCGCAACTTCAACTTGGTTTACGATAATTCCATCATTAGCGGACACTTTGCTCATTACAAAACATCAAAAGCCCACTCATACAAGTATTAGGAATATGACACAGTTTACAATGCTGGCAAATGAACAACTTTTCTATATGCTCACCAGGTCAAACGTTTTGACAACTTAAATTTGCCGCGAGAACTTTCGTCTGTGCGCGAAATTCTCTCGCCATCTTGATCTGGCAGTTTGTATCTGGCGACTGGCCTGATTTGAACTAAAGAGGGCAGTAACACCTTTTTCCTTTTTTCCAGAGCGCATTAATAGACAGGTTGCATCATCTATGCTATTTTTCCACCCTTCCAATGAGATGGGGGAGGATAGGTACCACTCAAGTATACAGCGTACGTAATTTTTGCATTTAAATGAAAAGTTGGTACAATTGGTAGTGTTTTGAAGTCGGGAGATATTTCCTTGGGTTAGTACCTCGAAAGTTTGACATAATACTGGGATTCGTTTCCCGTGGTTGATTCAGCGCCAAGATGGACAAGATCGACATGAGTTTAGGTACGTTTGTGTGTGATGCGGATTTTGTTAACGATTCCAAAACATGAAAAAATTAGGCCTAGCGTCATGTTTTTTTTCCGAATTACCACTTGCCCATCGCTTACGCTGACCGTTCACATGGTTCAAGCTGCAAGTGCAACATTGCAGCCTGGCGCGGTGTCGGTCCTGTGTTTTTTGTCGGGAGAAAAATGCCCAAATTTGGACTTCTAAATTGCGTGCCTTGACGACGCGCAATCCAGACACCGCATTTCTTTCATTATATTTCATTTATGGTGAGTCGTGCTAAAATTAAAAGAGAGAAAAAAAAACTGGTTTGGAAGACGTTTTACACACCAGAATTTCAGATAACTTGAGCAGTCCATCTTGCCAGTGACCATACTACTAGTAGTGCTTGTCCTCTAACATGGCACACTTCAACGTTCACTTGACTTTCCTCACGCAGTGCCGCCAAACCTCTTGAAAAATTTGAAACTCATTTGGTAATAAGCTGGTACTAAAATATTACCTTCGTGATACATGGTGTTAAACCCTTGTGAGCAATTTCAATTTCGTGAAATTTCGTTCAAACTTCACAATGTGAAGCAGTTCGGCTCGAATTCAGCTGAATGTTCCTTAATGTGGCGCACTTGAAAAAAATCTTTGAAAATTCCACCTAAAGATTTACAAAAAACATTTCAAGTTGATAAATTCTTGTAAAGCATCATTACTGCCACTCGAATACCCATTCACAAGTTTGTCGGGAAATTCCAATTTTGGGCTCATTTTAAGGGAGTTTACGCATGTATTTTGTACGTCAGAAAAAAATTGGATAATCGAACGAAAATAAAATGTTATTCAAACTTTGTAGCAGATACGTATAATTGAGATGTATTCAGTACAACTCGATTCAGAACTATGATTAAATTTCACTGATTGTGAAATTTGAGCTTAAGATCTTGCTTAAGACGAAATAAGGGAAAAATGAAAGTCCACCACATAAGGGGCCGCGCCACGTTCAGGTACATCAACAATACACCAGTCATGCTTGTAGATAAACCTAAAGTTTCAGACCAAACCAGTGTTCAGAGCAATTTGAATTTGGGAAAATTTATTGTACTTCATGTATTCGATCCTGAGCCTGTGAATAAAATCCATTCATAGGACAATCAACTCACTAACAGTGACACTGTGTGGATCTATATAGAAAGACATACATGTACCAATAGATGTATGAGTAGATACAGGACCATCACTGTGTGGACCCATGTAGAAAGACATGCCAAGAACAGATGGGTG